GGACTTAAAACCAAAGGTTTTTTTTTTTTTTTTGGTGCTAGCGATCGAATTCAGGTCCCTGCACTTGCAAGGCAGGCAGTAGCACCACTGGGCTAAATCCCTGACCTTTCAAGTCAAAGTCTTTTGTGAAGAAAGCAACTCCAATGGATGATTTCTACCTCATCTCCTAATTTAATTATTAAATTGCTCTTGTCAGAAATAGGACAGAAGAGTGGTTAAGTGTAGTTTCCGTGTTTCATTTTAAGTGCCAACAAAGTCCATTATATCTCTAAATGGATGGGCATGGTGTGACTGAAACATAAGCAGCATAAAATATATAGAAATTATATATCTAAATCAGATAGTTAGAACTTTCTAGATAGATGCTGGCAATTCTACATTGGCAAGTACCATATGAAAGTATACTTTATGTGCCTGCCAGACTAATATAATAATTCAATTTAAATGTAACTATCTTTACTATCTAATGTAAATTAAAACATGACTGAGAAAATCAAAATGTAAAACTACTGAGACAAATCGCAATATATTGAGACAAATACCACAAACAGTAGTGCTCTGAAGAAATTCTAGTAATTTCTTAGTCTAATGAGAGATCCATAGAGTTAATTTTTTTTGTTTTGGTACCAGGGACTGAACTCAGGATCTTGCACTTGCCAGGTAGGTGTGGTGTCACTGAGCTATATCCCTGGCCCTGAACTATTTCTTAAGCCTTTCCAAAAGGCTAGCCTTATCCAGTTTAAATTCAAGTCCAGTATTTTTTCCTTTTCTATCAGCCTAGTGTTTAGAGTTCTTGATTTATTCTTAACAGTAAAAGATAGCAGCATAGTCAATAGCTTCTAAACTCTTCAGGTGGAGAGATTGCACAAGTTGCTAACAAATCATCTATTATAGATTGAATGAAGTTAATTTAAAATGTTAATATTTCAGTTAGATGACTTGAAAATGAGGGCCCTGAATGATAATTTCCTAGATAGTATAGACCTAAGAGCCTCGTTTTCCAAAGCATTCTAATAAGACTGAGGCAATTTGGAAAATAAGATTTATCGATATGACATACCAGCATCACTAACAAACTAATACCACCATTTCAAGATTATTAGTAATCACATATAAATAACAAACTAGTAATTTGCCTACTAACAATGGTATAGTGGTGCCCCCTGGTGGTTGCATTGAGCATCCTTCCTTGATACTGCATCTCTTCTGAAATACAGATTACAGTAAAACCTTGGTTTGTGAGAATAATTCAATCCACTTGTAATCTAAAGCACTTGTATATCAAAGCAGTGAGAGCAAGACAGAGAACCAGTTGCAATCATGTGACGTTTACTGTGATGTATTACTCCTATTGTAAAACGTTGCTCATTTATCAAGTTAAATTTTCTTAGAAATGTTTGCACATCTTGTGAAACATTTGAAGACCAAGTTATTTCCAATCCAAGGTTTGACTGCATTTGTATTTGAGAATATCAAAATTTGAGATAATCGCATATGAATAATTGTGCTTCTGAATATCTTACTCCTTTTTCCTTTAAGAACATTGTTAACAAGATAAAAATCCTTGAGCCTTACTCCCAGAAATCAAGCTGAGGGCTATAGAAAGTTTGGTTAATTTGTCAATTTGTCTTTGACACAAATTCCTGTTAAGAAATTTACATTTTGGCTCTAGATCTTAATTGAGAGGTTTTTGCATTTTCTAGCTTGGCTTTTAAATCTATGGGTTTCTCAAAAAACCTTACTACTGCAGGTTCATTCAATAGAGATGCAAGAATCTGTTCAAATGCAAATGACCACTGAGGTTCCTCCCTAAGAGAGGAAGGATTTTTCTCCAAGTGGATCTCTGTTTTCCTTTCATTGGGTCCTCCAGAAACACAAACTATACCAGAGACTGCTTTGGCAGATGATGTAGGGCTATGTAGTTTCCTTCCAACTTCTTCCATCCTGAGCAAAAGGCTAGTTACAACAGCAATGGCTTGATATAATGCTTCTTCTTCAGGGTCCTCATGAAATAAATTATAGAGGGTCTTTGAAAACTGAATAAATTGTGACTAGAAGACACAAGTTAGAAATATAACATTTTAATACTACATTTGACAAATATGAAGAGAACTCAGAAGGGGGCACACTCCTAACAGAATTTATAGTGTATAACCTTCATCCCAGAACTATTAATCCCCAAATAAATCTTGGTTCTAGAAAGATGACTATGAATCATAGAAAAACGTTTCATTTAAGCCCTCTTGATTACTACCTATAGTACATCATAACCACACTAATTCCTGGGCAGTTGGCTATAGTATTTCACTGTTAGGTGGCACTTTCCTTCATTGGAATGTGTCTGGTACACAATGATTATATTCATTGTGGGAAGTCAATACATGTACATAGAACATCTTACTTTCAATTAGGCAAAGCGCTGCATTTTCTTACATGTAAATTCTAAATTCATTCAATCTTTTTTTTTTTTCTTGTACTGGGGGTGGAACTCAGGACCTTGCACTTGTGAGGTAGGCGGCGGAATCACTGAGCTATAATCAATCTTAACGAAAGGATTAAGAACAAGTTCCAACTGATCTCCTCAAAGGGGTAAGTTGGGCTGCTTAGCTAAGTGACAAATTTAGGGAATGATGACTTGTGGGACTTATCTAGTAGTGCAAAGTAGCTCTAAGAAACCCATGTGGATGTGCTTCTCTTGAAAGACGGAGTGGGGAAAAAAGGGAGGGAAACTCTTAGCTAACCCTGAATAATTCAAAGATAGTCCTAGAAAATATTTTTTAATTTAAAAAAGCAATTTCAACATGAGTTTCATAAGTCAGTCATCCAATCAGAAAAGTTTATCTTAACAAAAAGCAAATACAAAGGATATATTTCATAAAAATACATTATAACAAAAGTCCATCTTCTTTCATTAGTTTATAGTATTGTTAATTTATAATAATTTTAGAACAAATATTCCATATTTACTCATTTTAAAAAGTACTTAATCAACTGCCAAGTTATGCAGTCCATTGAAAAATGCTAAGCTATTTGATAATTTTCATTGGGATAAAGCTCTGGGTATCCTCAGTATCTATATCAACCAGATTTTAATTTAAAAAATATAAGAACATATTCTGGTTGGACAGGGTATCAGTAGTTATTAGCACTACCTGTACAGTTCCAAAGACCATTAGGAACCAAGGTGTGATCTATTTTAGTAATTTATTATGCTCAGTAACTAGCAATGGGCTTGGCATCCAGTAGGCCTTAAAAAAGTGTTTACTGGAAAAAAGAACGTTTCCAACAATGTTGGAAATCTTCTACATATTTTTTATAGGTATATAAAACGTCAGAGGAGAAGGACTATCTGAAATACTAGATGCACTTAGGTGTTTAAAGTAAAAATTTGTTTCTCCTGTGCTTCCATGAAACAAACATAATACAGATTTTTAATGTTTTTAAAAATAGTATATTAGCTATTTTAGAGTTGGTTATATTCATACTCACATAAAAATGCAAGAACTTAGACTTTTCTTTTTGAAAACACTATACCTGATTCATTCTTGGCAAATCTTTAATATTTTCTTCTTTTTTGAGGAGCTCATCTTGCCATTGACTTAGGTATGCTTGAATATCAATTTTTCCTTTGCCTGAACGAGAGGAATAAAACAGTTTCATATTGAATAGCCCGCTATATTTTCCAAAATCTCAAGAATAAGAATTGATTGAAAGATATTTCACTGAGATATAAAATCTCATCTCTTTTGATCCAGGAAATAATCTGAATTTCCTTTTGATCTCATTTACTGGCTCTCAGAATACTTTCTCTCCTTCTGTTTAGTCTAAAACTTTTACTTTGGGAAACTTGAGGACTGGGGAAAATGTGGGGAGGGAAGGAAAAAAAAAAGATGCATACAGATTAAAACAGACACCCTCACCTGAAAATACACATTTCATGTAGTCATTCTCCCATCCAAAAACTAACCAGACCCGATCCTGCTTAGCCTCAGAGATCAGAGGAGATCAGGCACATTCAGGGAGGTATAGCCGTAGACATTATGAAGTCATTGTCAAATATATTACTAAATTTAAAACAGTTTCTAGATCATATTCTTATGTAGATAAAAAAATGGTCTACGGTGGCTATTTCTTAAAAACTCAAAACACTAATCTTTTCTTTAAAGAGTTTAGTCAAGAAGATATCAAGGTGACTTTTAAATATTTATTTAAGAGCCCTTGAAACCTGAATGAAAATATTGGTGAAATTATTATGTTTAAAGAGATCTTCAGCAGTAAGTTATTTTTAACTGTTATTCAAAAACATAAAAAGAATGATAGGCCTTTGGAGAGTGATTTTATAGCCTCTATCAAAATATTAAATGTGACTACCAGCCAGTCCAGTATTCTATACTTCTATGAATTCATCCTATCCCAAAGAAATGTTTGTAAAGTTATTCTAAAATTTTTAAGCACAAAAATATTTGTTGAAGAGTTTGAAATAAAAACAACAGAGAACAACCTAAAAGTCCATCAGTATTGGGTTAGTTATTGAAATCAATTATGATAAAAACAAATAATGAAATATTCTGTACCCATTAAAAAGTACAAGGTAGATCCAAATGTATGGATGTGAAAAGCTCTCCACGATATATCATGAAATCTAAAATTAACAACTATAAAACAGTATTTATGTACTATTTTTTTCTTTTAAAATAGAGATATCTAGATATGTTTGTGCATATACAGAAACAGGTCTGGGGAGGACATAGTCAAAAATGTTTTCAGTCTTTAATTCTAGGTGGGGTTGGTGTGAATATAAGAACTATTTACTGTCTCAATCTGTTAGGATTATCTATTATTTTTGTGATTAAAAATAAATATTTCTAAAATAAAATAAATTAATATGGGTCATTTACTATTATATTTTTATAACTTCTGAAAAGTATCATGGGAAGAAAGAATAAATTGTTAAACTACAGCGAAGAAATTGAAAAATTTCTCAGAATCAATCTACAGCTATTAAAAGGAATCAATCCACTCCCCCCTTGTAGTTATCCTTATTTATATAAGTAATAATTTAATAAAAGAGATTATATTCCTAGATCATAGTACCTTTTTCAGGGCTGCTTTTTCCTGAATTTGATTCGTTCTCATTTGTAGCCTTGGAAACTAGAAGGAAAGAGGGCAATTGTACAATGTAAAATATTTAACAAATATCTTTTAGCAAGGAGGGGTGAAGGGAGGGCAGGGACAAAGGGAAAGAATGAAAACCAAGACCTGTCATGTAAAGGTACAAGATCCCAATAATGAATGTTAACTGTGCTGTATACCTGAAATGTACCAATAAACTCAATGAAGAAAAACAAAACAAAACAAAATATCTTTTAAAAGTAAAAATATTTCATGTGACATAAAAGTACATTTTTTTTGATTCAGTAAGCCAATTTCACCTGACCTGACTCCCTGGCATTGTAAGGCAATATATTAAAAAAGTTTCATAGTAAAAAGAATACTGGAAAATATTCATATTTTTTAAAAATCCTAGAAGGAAGCACACTAAATATTAAGTATTTATTTCTCAGTGGTATTTCTTTCTTTTTTGATTTTCTTCAAATTAATTTGTACTACTTTTGTTATCAGGAAACACACACACACAAATACAGGAAGTTAGAAGAATGAATTACAATTTCTGAGCGTGGCAATAACTCATTGTGAATCTTGTACAAACCCCTTCTCTGTGGGCCTCAGTGCCCTTATCTACAAAATGAAGGGATCTGACTAGATGATTCATAAGGTCTCTTTAAACTCAATGTTCAAACACTTTAGCATGTTGCCAGGCCTGGTGGTGCACACCTGTAATCCACACTTGGGAGGCTGAGGCAGGAGGATCATCATGAGTTTGAGCCCAGCCTGGACTATGTAATAAGTTCAAGGCCAGCCTCAACTACACAGCGAGACCCTGTCTTAACTGCCACCCCCCAAAAACAAGAAAAAAGCCAAAAACCAAAAAATACTTTAGCATGTTAAGCCACAAGTATACATTAATCAGAACCCATTCCTCTGATAAGACATTGCATATTTATGAAAATAAAGCAAAGGACAATCAAATAAAGCTCATATCATTTCCAAATAATGTCTGGGAGCCAGACTCACTCCAGTATCTTACACCTTCAGTGTCTTACAGTAAATAATCTTCTGTTTGAATAAAAGCTATGGCATTTAATCACCAAACATTCTACTGTCTTCATTGTACTTTACCGAGGCATAAAAATGGTCTGATACAGTTTAGAAGTTTCTTTAACATATTTAGAAACAAAATATAATTTTTTGTGATTCTCCAATAAATAAGAAATTTCATAAATCTAAGTCTCTAATCAGTAATTAGTAATTTGGTAATTAGTCAAACATTTATGAGCTGTGCTAAGTGTTATGGTTGTACAAAAGAAGTGAAAGGTAAAATAAACCCCAAATTTACTAATGGTAGCTGGGTAAAGAACATCTAAGCCAGGAAGATCTCTACAAGTAACTAATGATCAAAACAGTTAAACTAGCTAGACACAGTGGTGTGCACTTACAGTTCTAGATACCTGGGAGGCTGATGATGTAGGAGGATCACTAAAGCCTAAGAATTTGAGGCCATCTCGCAGAAGTTAGCAAGACCCTGTCTCAAAAAAAAGTTAAGCCTTTAAACAAATATTTACCGTGGAGCTGACTGAAATAAAGTAATTCTTCCATGGAAAGTTCATCTCCTTTTGAAGAGTCCTTAGATTTCACTTCAGTATAAGCTGAAAACATACAACCCAAGTCAAATTTACTAACAATGAGAGGAAGAGATGAGGTCTGTAATGGTCAGATAAATTTGGGAAGAGGAATTAAAAAAAAGAGGTCTTGTAACAAAAATGTAACTGAAGAAATATAAAAGGGATATCGTTCTATTGTATAGCAAAAAATAAAAATACTCGATCACCTTGAGTTCTAGTATTTCTTCTGTTAGCTTTTTAAATAGTTTTCTAAGAGCCATTACAAGTAGTAATAAGAAAATTTGGCATCTGGAAATCTGAACGCACATCCTTAACCATTTAAAAATCTTGAAGGAGAACATGAAGTGAATGCTTTTGTTTTATTTCCTACCTGTGATTTAACAAGTACACAATATTTTTCCTATTTTTGATCCCTCTAAAAACAATGTAATCAATGAACATTATAATGGCAACCTAATTTGACAATGTAAACTCCTTTTATAATTAAATTATTAGGTGTTTTATCTCTTGTTTTTAATATTTTGTCTGTGATTTGAGTATGTGAAATGGTAAACATGCCTGTTGTCCTGTTGAACAATGTTTCCTGGCGAACCCAAAAAGATTTTATTTTATTTCTTTTTCAGCTTTAATTGAGTTTATTGGTACATTTTAGGGACACAGTACAGTTACATTCATTGTTGGGATCCTGTACCTCTACATGACAGGTCTTGGTTCTCATTTTTTTCCACTTGTCCCTGCCCTCCCTTCACCCCCTCCTCCCCTCCCCATCTACAAACACTTTATTTCCATCTTTTCTTTATCTCACATTTTTTTCTTTTCCCTTATTACCCTTCCCCTACCCATCCCAGCTTCCCTACACCTTTAGCCCAAAAAGATTTTAAAAGGGATCTCAGGTATAGCTTTAGACAATTATGAGGCACTGTTTGTTTTTATGAATTAATTCAATTAAGCTACTATTTTTTCAAAGTAGGGATGCCTGGGAATGGAAGCCTTTTTCAGCCAATGGGGAAAAATGTATATAAGCTGAAACAGCATGAGAAGTCTGAGGTAGTATGGTAGAACAGAAAGAAAAATGAACCTTGGAGTCAAATAGACTTCAGTTTGAATCCCAGCTAGGCAATTATGAGCTATGTGATCATCAGCAAATAATCTAGCCTTTCTGACCACTAGTTTCCTTGTTGTTAAAATTGGAAGGATAATATTACCCTTCAAGGATATGGTAAGGGTTAAAAGAATGCAAGTAAAGTGAATGTTCTGTTTCCTTTGCTAAATATTTAATATTCCTACCTTTTTCCTGCTTCCCTTTTTTCCCCTTTGTTTTACAGCACTAGGAAATGAACCCAGGGCCTTGCACTTCACTAGGCAAGAAGCTCTAGACTATGGAGCTACATCACAAGCCCTTCATGGTTCCATTTTTTCTGAATAATGGTAGTGTTTTACAAGTTTGGCAGTTTATCTAAAGTTAATCTCTAGTCTAAAAACAATGACCACAAAAACATTCAACATTAGGGCTGGGGATTTAGCTCAGTGGTTCTGCTGCCTGCCTTGCAAGCACAAGGACCGGAGTTTGATCCCCGGTGCCAAAAAAAAAAAAAATTCAACATTATATCAACATTCAAACAATATGTAATTCTTGTACACAAACTACCAATAAAACGATTGACCACTAACAGAAAGCCTATAGAGTCCTCCATTATACAGAATCTCTTCTATTGATTTCACCAATCACTATATATGAGCAAACATAGTGATAGCATGAATTGAGTGCCACTGCCACAAAGACACAATAACCTTATATCATATTGATAATTATATTATCTGATAAAATGGAGTAAATCTGTAATTACACTTGCTAAAATGAAATCAACTGCTGTACATCATTAAAGAGTATTAAACACTTACCTGGCGGAATATGCAGCTTAAAAAGCAGTTTAAGCTTCTCAGTAAAACTTCCATTATACATTATGTCTGTTCAATAAAATTTAGTTGAAAATAATCATGTATTCAAACATTCAGTCAACTTCAGCAACACAGATTAAGATACAGATACTAACCAGGAACTAGGATTCAGAGACTTTCTGTTATCTGTTACTGAAGCTAACAGTTAAACAGCCACCCACCAGACAGATTCTCTCCTTTAAGTATATAAGCAGTATACTCTATGAAAAGAATGAGACGCTCTTATGACTATCTAGCTCCTTTCCCTCAACCTCAGAGTTCGTTTTGTTTTTGAATGAGGCCTTATATCTCCTTTGAGGGAAGAACTGCTCTTTAAGGGTTAATTCATGATAAGAAAGCATTACTGGGGAGTCTGGAAAAGCAAAAGAATAATATTTACAGGTACAACATATTGACAAGTGAATTTTTTTTTCTTTTTTGTTTTTTAAGACAGGGTCTCACCGTGTATTTCAGGCTGGCCTTGAACTTACTGTGTCTCAAACTCTCAGTCTCCTGAGTGCTGGGATTACAGGCAAGAGCCACCACACCTGGCTCATAATGGTACAATCTGTTCTCTGAGTACTTTTCTAGGCTATGTGGTTAGATTTTTCCCAAAGAGGAAAGTCTGTAGTATCCATATACTTAAGTGTGGGAAAGACAGAATACTCTTCCTTCATGTTAAACTTTAGAATATCCACATATAACAGCTTGATTTTATGAGATAGTTGGGGTAAAATGAAATCAATATACTTAGATTTAGTAACAAACACAGAAAAAAACCCGTCTAATTATTAAAGCTAGAGACAATGTGACTCAGGGTAATATAATCTAACTCAACTGATATTAGTACTAAATACTTTTAGGGATATGTTTATTTTTCATTTAAAAAAGTTATCAGACATTGGCCTACCAATTGCAGAAGAGAATTCTTTGAAGTTTATAAGGCAATCAGAATTTTCATCCAACAATCGGAATGTCCATAAAGCTAGTGAGTCTTTGTTTGCAGAATGAGCCCAGGGACTCAACAAGTGATACAACACTCTGAACTGCTGGCAGTCAATTTGATACTGTTCCAAATATGGCAGGCTGGGGTCATGGTGCTTTAGTACTGGACAACTCATACACCAATAACAAGATAAAAACAGCTCTTTCTATTAAAAAAAATAAAAGGAAAAGTTATTAAATCACAAAAAGTGATTGCAGAAGATTTTCTTCTTTTAAAAATGTCTGGCAAAAAATAAACATTTAAGAGTACTTGTGATAAAATTCTGCTAATAGCACATTATTTTTCATTTACAAAGAACAATATACCTTAAAGATCACATAAAGTTCATCTAATTCATGAAGGTTCAATTTCACATCTTGTGATACAACACGCAGCTGAAAAAAGATTAAAAAGTGATTTAAAATTTAATATTCCAGCACAGAAATGAATCCACTTAAGAGTCTCCTTTTCTTCTGAATTTCTGAAAAATCAGATAAAACACCTACTTTATATTTATAAGAAGTTGTACATAGAATATAGTTCAAGTCTCATTTGCTACGTACTTTGACAATCACCTCTTCATACCTGGAAATTACTGCCGAAGGACAGAAATGTTTATAAATACAAGCAACAGTATTCTAAGTCTCATTCCATATAGTCCTTTTTTGCCACATAAGCAATTTGTCAAGTCATCAAGGGAGCTGTCATCAAACACTTCAAAGGCATCAGACGTGCCCTTGCTTCCATGCCAAAAAATGATAAGCTTAGAAAATATGGAATTTCATCCTACTCTATAAAGAGTAAGCACTGATGGTAAAAGCATTATACCATTTAAGAAATCTAAAAGCAAAGCTAAAGTTAAAAGCTAAGACTAAAATAGAACTTTAAAGAAATACAGAACACTCAAATAAAATGGAGAATTAATTGGAAATAATGGACAAATCTCAGGCAAGTGTGATAAAAGAAATCACAAATCAACACTGATAAGAAAAAGGATAATATAAGAATGGATATGGAGGTCATTAAAAGTACCCAGCATATAGAAGGTATAAATTCCATAAGATTTCTATCAGTTTATCTGAAGACCTAGATAAAATAGATAATACCCCAGGAAAATATAAATGACCAAAATTAATTCAGAGAAGCAAGAAAATATAATTAGATTGAACTGAAAAGACCTGCCTCCCACCCAAAGGCAATAGCTAGGCTATATGAGGAACTCAAAAAAATCAGATTCTTCCCAAATAAAAGACCCAATAAAAAATGGGCAACTGAAATGAACAGACATTACTCAGATAAAATACAAATAGTGAATACATGAAAAAATGTTCAATATCCCCGGCCACTAGAGGAACACAAATTAAAACAATACTGAGGTTCCATCTCACTCCAGAAAGAGTGGACATCATTAAGAAATCCAATAATAACAAATGCTAGAGAGTCTGTGGGGTGGGGGACCCCTTCTACCCTGCTGCTGGGAATGTAAACTTGTATAACCACTAAGGAAATCAGTATGGAGATTCCTCAAAAAACAAAAAATAGAGATTTCATTTGATTAACCTGTTATGGCTTGGGTCTAGATGTCCCTTGTTGCTGAGACAAAATACCAAACACCCAAATTAAAGGGGGAAAGGTTTATTTAGCTCACAGTTTGTAGAGGTTTCAGTCCATAATTGCCTAGCTCCAAGGCACGGTGGCTTGGCAGAGGGGCACAGTTCATGGCAGGCAGAAGACAGCAAAAGCAACAAGAGACCTTAACAGCAATTTTTTTTCCCCTGCCTTTTGTCTTATCCAGACTACTAGCACTCACACCCTTAATCCTAGTGCCCTTGAATGCAGCACTGCACCAAGAATCAATTTTAGCCTCACACAATCTAGAGCTAGCTACCTCTAAAAAAGCACCACCTATGACCACATGAGGTTTGGGGGGACATCTAAATACAAGCATCATGTAGTTATAGGTGGAGCTTTTCAGAGGTGGTTGGACATAGAGTGTGTGATGCTGGGATTGTGTGTGTGATTACAATATTAGCCCACTGATTGGTATGACGTAGTGCTGAGTGTAGATAATGGGAAGGCCCACCCTGGGTGTGAGTGCTACCCGCCCTAAGCGTGTGTAGCCTAGATAGAATATAAGGGACTGAAATAGAACTGTTCTTGAAGTTTGTTGCTTCATTTGCTTCTTGGTACCTCCTGGTTGCCTTGCTTTGCCATGGACTGTTTCTCCTCTGTGATGCCCCTCTGCCAAGCCACCTAGAGCTGGAGCTGGCTGACTATGGACCGAAACCTCTACAAACTGTGAGCTACAATAAACCTTTTCTCCTTTAACTTTGGGTGGTGAGTATTTTGTCTCAGCAATGACAAAAGTAACTAAGGAACCAGCAACTCCCCTTCTACAGTGATACATGCATACCCATGCTTATAGCAGCATAACTCACTTATTCTTTGAAGTGGCCTATATGTCCATCAACAGATAAATGGATAAAGAAAATGTGGCATTTATACATAATGGAGTACTACTCTACCATAAAGAAGGACAAACTCTGAGTCATTTGTAGGAAAATGAATATAGTTTGAGACCATAATGTTAAGTGAAATAAACTAGACACACAAGCTTAAGCATCAATGGTTTCTCTTATGAGAAACCGAAATTACAAATAAACAGCAAAATAAAAGATAGATAATAATCCATGGATGCTGTATATTTTTACATAACTTCACAATGTACTTGGCTGCCTTCAAGATAATTTATTTTGCAACACGTTACTGCACAGTTGTAAATAACTTTTGTACTGTAACATCACTTTCAGTTATGTGTAAAGAAATAAATAAATTAAAATGCAAAAAATAAAATAAAAGATAATAAAGATAGGTAATAGGGAAATAGATCTTTTGCTTAAGGGAAGGGGACCAGGGGATAGATAAAATGGGGAAATAGGGGTAGGATAAAAAAGAATTAAGATGTGTTATGAAAATGTACCAAGTCTCCATGAGGAACATAATTATCATGTACTATAAACATAATCAATAAAAATAAAAATTTACAAAAAGAAAATGAAAGAATTAATAAGACTAGGGGGCTACAATAGGCCACAGATATAACAGATAAAACAATAATAATATTAAAAGAGCTCTTATAAATCGAGAAAACACAATCTCATAGAAAAATGAGCAAAGGCTAAAAGAATAGGAAATCAAGAAAAATTTGAAAAATCCTAATAAACATGCATAATTAGCAAAATGCAACATAAAATGACATTTGATTTTTATTTTGTACCGGATATCCAACTCGGGCCCTTGCGCTTGCGAGGCAGGCAGCAGAACCACTGAGCCAAATCCCCAGCCAACATTTGATTTTTTTAAACTATCAAATTGGCACAAATTAAAGACATTTAATGTCTGGTGTTAAGATCATGGAAAAAAGGGCATTCTTATACATTGCTGCTGGAATTATAATTTGGCGAAGACCTTTTAGAGGATAATTTGGTAGGATCTGTTAAGTTTTAGACGGGCATACCCCTTTACATAGCTTCCATTTGCAGGAATCTATCTTACAGAAATACTCTCACGAAGAATGTATATACAAGGGGTGATCCAAATATTTGGTGGATGTTTAAACTTTAAAAATTATTATGTAAAAGACATGTTTTTGTTAGTTCTCACAATACTCTTTCTTGCTTAAAATACACTTATCCCATTGATCATGCCATTGTCTGAAGCAGTTTGGGAAGTCCTCTTTTGTGTCTTTATGAAGTGTGATCAAAACTACAGGGAATGCTGCTGCAAGTGTCATCCAATACAAAACAGGCTGGTAAAAATATTACGGTGTGTCTTCATTCACTGATCTGGCACCGTACTCTGTGCCTTCTGGCCCTTCTAAAAGTCAAAATGGCCATTTAAAACATTTATGTTTTAAATTGATATAAAATATCAAGGGAGCTGCAAAAGCATAACCACAGACATGAAAAAGTACTTCCAGAACTGCATCAGAAAGTTGCAAGAATAATGGGATAAGTGTGTTGATGGCAGTGTGTCTTTTGTTGTAATAAATGTTTAAAAATTTAAACACCATATTGTTGATGACATCTTGCATGTGTATAAAGATGTTTATGTAAATAAAGTATTATTTTAAGAGCAAATACATGGATGGAGATATGTTAAATATACAATAGGAAATCACAAATAATAGCATAACTGTGCTATGGGGTACTATTTAGTGCATCAAGCAGAGAGTTATGTTTATATGTGCTGATATGCAATGACCAGGATTATTTATTTATTTATTTACTTACTTACTTACTTACTTACTTATTTATTTTTGGTACCAGGGATCAAACTGTGGTCCTTGCGCTTGCAAGGCAGGCAGCAGAACCACTGAGCTAAATCCCCAGGATACTTTTTATTAAAAAAAGTTATAGAGCAAAGTAACTAGTATGATCCCATTTAAAAAATGATGCCTCCTCTCCACCAACATACAATGTTTGCAGATACAGAAAAAAAAAGATATGGAATGATGTATCAAATCGTTTTAAGATGGTTACTCTTTGGAATGGGGAACTTTCACTCTTTATATTTCTGTGATGCTTGAATTATTTACAACAAGCATGTATAACATCAGTAAATATTAAAAACATTAATATATAAAAACTAAAAAAACACTAAAACAAGGGGGCTCTACATTACCTAGGTTATAATAATATCATTGAATTATTTAACTTAAATCTAAACCTGGAGCCCTCAGAAATGTTAATCTTCTTAGAATCGCATCTCTGAGGAACTTGTCTGTAAGCAAGCAGGTTTACAAAACAACACAAGCACAACATAAACATCAAGGTAAACTTCAGAGGGGCACAGATTACAGATTACATCGGTAATCTATTCATCCTACTGGCCAGAGGAAACCAGTATTAGCAGTTTCTTATACAGTTATACAAACATAAAAAAGGTGAGTAGTGTTTTATACCCTTTTTTATCCTATTAACATTACTCTATGTATTCAAAGAAAATAATGTTAATACCATTGACTACTGTAAAAATCATCTGTTCTTACTAATAGCACATTACAAACCTGTTAAGCCTAGATGGCCACATCATAACAGCACTCTATAGTGGTGCTGAAGGCCAAGTAATAGAAAATACATTGAAGAAGGCCACATAATTCAGCCAGAAGAAAATGACTTATTTCTTCTTAAAAAAATGTAGCACAAACTAAATCTTGGCAAGAATCTAGCTCAAAAAGTTAGTCCTTTTCATTTTATTTACATGTAAAAATAATTATTAAAGGAAGTTAAAGGGAAAAAATTCTCACTCCAACTGTTTTCCCCCATCAAGTAGTCACTCACCACATTCTGCTTCGTTGTTTCCTCCAGGGTCTGTATCACATACAGCCTATTTCGACAGCGCATGCTGTATATATCTTCATAGCGAATATTACCATATTTCTGAAAGACATGATTTCAGTGGGTGAAATAAATATCCGCTTTTCCATCTAGAATTGAATCAAATTTCATTAGACTCAGTTGTCTGGGGCATTGGTTCTATTTCTAGCTACTTTCCTGACTTGTTCAGATATTTTGCAAATTTTCACCTCCCACATTTCAGTTTTCATATATATTTACTGGAGAGAATTCCGTCTACTATGTATCAACACCAAGAAAAAGAACACTGATAAAATTAATCTTTAAGAACAGAATAATTTTCACCTTTTTTATACAGTGATACATATTTAGAAGTGTTCATCATTGATGAAAGTGAGCAAATTTAGTTTCATTCAATGAGAAGCAAATTGAGGAATGGGGTTTATATGCCTTAGGAGAAGATCACGGAACTCATTTTTTTCTCATTGAGTTTATTGGTACTTTTTAAGAAAACAGTACAGTTACATTCATCATTGGGATCTTGTACCTTTACGTGACAGGTCTTGGTTCTCGTTTTTTACCCTTGTCCCTGCCCTCCCTTCACCCCATCTACCCTTTCCCATTTACAAAGACTTTGTTTCCATTTTTTCATTTTCTCATATTTTTTCTTTTCCCTTTTTCCCCTCCCTTCCCCTTTCCTCTTCTTCTACTCCTTTAGCCCTTTTCTCCGTATTTCACATCATCAATTATACAATTTGAACCTTATTTATACTTTAAGTTTTTCACACCAGAGAATCAATTCAGTATTTACACGTGTCCTATTTATTTCACTTAAGAATATGGTCTCAATGTGCATCCATTTAGCTATAAATGTCTCCCGTTTTTCATTATTTAGGGCTGAGTAGTAATCCATTTTATAGAAAAACCACATCTTCTTTATCCAGTCTCCAGTTGATGGGCAAATGGGCTGTTTCCAAGTTTTAGCTATTACAAACTGTGCTGCTATAAACATGGGTGCACATATATCACTCTGATATGATTCTTTTAATTCTTTTGGAAAGATACCCAGCAGAGGGATGGCTGGGTCAAATGGAACCTCTAGTCTCAGCTCTTTGAGGTATCTCCATATTGATTTCCACAGTGGTTGCACCCGTCTGCACTCATACCAACAATGGAGAAGGGTTCCTTTCTCCCCACAGCCCTGCCAGCATTTGTTATTGGTTGATTTCTTGATAGAAGCCATTCGTTCTGGGGTGAGGGGGAATCTCAGTGTTGTTTTCATCTGCATCTCTTGAATGACCAGTGATGTGGAACATTTTTTCCTATGTTCATTTACTGCTTTTTTACTTGTTTGTCTGAGAAATGTCTGTTCATTTAAGATGCCCATTTTTGAATTGGGTCTTTATACCTGGGGGGTGTCTAAATATGTTAGTTCTTTATATATTCTAGATAGTAAACCTTTGTCTGAGGCAGAGCTGGTAAAAAAATTTTTGCCACCTTGTAGGTTGTATCTTAGCTCTGTTGGTGGTTTCTCTTGCAGTGCAGAAGCTTTTTAATAAGATGAGATCCCAGTTGTTGATTCTTTGTGCTAATTCCCGTGCTACTGAAGATTTGATCATAGTCTTTCCCTATTCCAATGTCTTTGAGAGTTCTACCTAACTTATCTTTCAGTAAGTTTAGTGCTTCTGTTTTAATATTTAGATCTTTAATCCACTTGGATTTTAGTTTAGTGCATGGTGAAAGATAAGGGCCTAGATTAATCTTTGGCAGGTTGAAATCCAGTTTTTCCAACACCATATATTAAAGAGGCTATCTTTCCTCCAGTGAGGATGGTTGGCTCCTTTGTCAAAGATGATGTAGCTTAGTGTGTCTGGAGCTGTTTCACACAACTCATTTTTAAAGTGAGGTTAGATTTTAAATTGTATCTTTGCATTATTATATTACTTTTAATAAAAGACTACAAATATAACTGCAATACCAATCTTTTAAAATGTGCTATTACATTTATAGTATAAAAAGAACTTACCTCATTGGATTCTCTAATCAAATCTGTAATATCTACTTTCATATGACTGCTTTTTTCATCACTCTCATTTGAACCCTGCTGAACACTTGAAGGCAATGGGCTATCCTTATTCGTGACATTGTCAAAGAACCTATCCAAAAGTGGTAGTAATACAAGAATTAGTGGAACTAAAGTAGTTAAATAAGAGGAAAAGACAGCTAATGTCTCTCTAGTTTGTTTTTTTTTTGGGGGGGGTACCAGGGATCAAACTCGGGTCCTGTGCTTGCAAGGCAGGCAGCAGTACCACTGAGATAAATCCCAGGCTCTCTAGTTTGTTAAGAGGTTAATTTCAACTGAGAAGACAAGGGAAGGACTTACAAAGAAGCAGAATTTGAAAATGGTTGTGGATTAGGAAGGCATTGTGGGGGGAATAGAGACAAAGTTATTTTGGGATTGGGGAGGAGAGCATGAAGGAAGCAAATAGGCTCATTGAGTACTCAGCAAACACATAGCCTAGTAAGAACAGAATATAGGGTATGAATAGATATGTAAGGGAAAATAAGTGCAGAAAGGTACATGTCGGCCTTATCACAAAATTGTGAACACCAGAGTGAGGCATTTGCATATTATTCTGTACAGAAGGGGATTAGATGTAGCATTACAACAACTGGCAATTCAGATATTCACTCGTAGAACATATACAAATATGTGCATATACACACAAACAACTATGCTTGTGCTCCAATACAAAATAGCACTCATAAACATCCGCTGGGAAAATAAAGTTCAACTTAGCTTACTGAACACATATGGATACTAACATAATTTTCCCCATTGGATATTTAAAATTATCAACTAGCCCTTTCCCCCTCAAATTATTTTCATATTATAAATGATTTACTTCTTTTTAAACCCTTCTTGAATACAAAGACTTTAGGCCTGGATGTTTCATTTAACTAAGGCTGTGACTTTGAGCAAATTATTTGACATCGCTAGGGCTCACTTTTCTCAAAAGTAAAATCAGGTCATTTAACAACATAATCTCTCAGATTCCCTCCAAATTCAAATGATATAATTTTTACAATACCTGTTTAAAGCTGTCACAGCTTCAGCATCATCTTTACACTCCAGCAGCTTGTCTAAATTATAGTCAAGTATCGCCAATCCCAGTTGTAAAATAGCCTTTATTCCATCATAGAAGAAACAGTCCACCACATTCACTGCACTTTCAATAGGCAGCACACTAATAAAAAGTGTGAGGAACCATGAGAGAGAAACTGAGGAAAAGAATGTCATATCTGTCATGTGTTCTGTCAGCTGAGGAAGGTGATCCCTGATAAGTTCTTCAAACACTGCCTGATCCACCAAGGCACCTAGAGAATGTTAAAAGAAGTTTAAAACTATACATCTTTCCAAAAGATTTGTTTCCGATACCCCCTTAGTTCTATTAGCTTGCGGATATATCTCATCTTTCTTCTTTAAATGGTAAACTCCTTCAAGTGCTTTTACTATATTTTCTATGTCTTTGTACCTACTAGTAGATGATGCATTTAAAAACATTTGGGAAATACAATTCAAATTCATCTGAAGAGTTATTTATTGATCCTTAGTATAGGCAGAGAACTATACTAGGGGCTATAACTAATGGTCTCACATTCCAAGAGTTTAATATGTAGCAGAACCAGAGATAAACACACAAACAACTGTAACAAAAGACAATGAAATTGGTGGCTTAAATAGAATATTGAAAGCTTATGGAGATACAAAGGAGAAATGACCTGTAAATTTTAAGACAGGAGATCACAGAGCTCCAAATATTTGATGACTGAAGAAAATATTATACAGGGTTGGAGATTTAGCTCATTGGTGCTGCCACCTGCCTCGTAAGCACAAGGTTCTGAGTTCGATCCCTGGTACAAAATATCATGCGTTGGAAACTTAATCCCCAAATTCACCTGTTAATGGTATTTGGAGATGGAACTTGTTGGGGGTGACTGGGTCGCACAGGTTTTGTCTGAATGAATGGATCAATCCACTTATAGATTAATAAGTTATCGAGGGAGTGGCTTTGTCATAGTAGCAAGCTGTCTCTAGCATGCCTGCTCTGTCTCACCATGTGATGCCTTCCACCATATTATGATGCTGAGCAGATGCTGCCTCCGTGCTCTTGGTCATCTTAGCCTTTAACCACAAGCTAAATAGACTTCTATTCTTTGTAAATTACCCAGTATGTGGCATTCAGTTATTGCATTAGAAAACAGACTAAGACAATGTATGTGAACACATGTGTAAGTGCACTTTTTTTTTTTACCAATGATTCGTCGATTAAAATAATCAGGCAACATTCGTTCACATACAGCAACCAGAAGCCAAAAAGCTTCTTCTTCCTTTGCATACAGAAGCAACACTGAAGTCAAAATGTTCATTGCCTAAAATTCATAGAAAAGATATGAGAAACTAAATATTATTCAGATCATAATTGCATTTCTCCTTCAAACAAATTTTCAATAGTAACAAGAATAGACTAATTATAATGGAAACATAAGAACTCAGATAATCTAAAGCAAAACTAGGTGATTTCAGGCTAACATTCACTAATAATTTGTTTCATATAATAACACTGATTCAAGGAAAATGAAGTAGTAATATTATGGGTATGGACCATAATAAGTAAAACACAATTTAGGTTAATTTCAATGACTAAAAATCATAAATCTAAAAAAAATCCCAAATAATTTTCAAGAACATTAAAATTGGAGAACATAAACCTCGTCTCTATTTTCAGTTACCTACAGGAGAATATCCCTTAGATATCAATCATCTTCCATTATGTCCAAATATAAATATCTTCTTTCTCCTATCGAGCAGGATTTTCTTCTTAGTTAGGCTAATTTTAGGCATGGAAGAAACCTTGTATCTGCTTCATTCAATTTGCTTGCCTATCTTATAATTTCTAATAGTAAAATGAACAAGTTTCTAAGAACAAAATTGCTGAGACCAGCTCAAGAAGAAAGAAAAACCTCAATAGAGATATATTAAGTAAAGAGACTGAAATAGTAATGAAAACACTTTCTACAAAGAAACCTCTAAATCTATCCCGGGAAACACATCTCAATGTGTTTATCTCAAAACAAACATAACCTCTACACTTCTACTTGACATTATACTGAAGGTTCTAGCCAGGTTGATTAGGCAAGAAAAAAGGGGGAAAGCAATTCAGATAGGGATGGAAGAAGTAAAACTATTGCAATGCCATGATTAAAAAAAATTTTTTTTTGAAGACAGGGTCTCGCTATGTAGTTCAAGGTGGCCTTGAATTCACTATGTAGCTCAGGCTGGCTTTGAGCTCATGGCAATCCTCCTGCTTCAGCCTCCCGAGTGCTGGGATTACAGCAAATTCATCATTTTGTATATTGAAATTCTCAAGGAATTCACAAAATATCTACTAGAATTAACAAACAAGCTCAGTAAGGTTATAGTATACAAGATCAAGATATACAAAGATTATTTGTATTTCTATATACTGGCAACAAATAATCTAAAGGCAAACACAAAAAATTCAGTTTACTATAATATCAAAAAGATTGAAATATTTAGAAATAAAATTATCAAAGTACAAAGCTTATTTACTGAAAACTACCATGTAACCTTAAAAGAACAGAAGTAAAGAGCCAAACAAATGGAAAGGAAAGATACCCTATGTTCATAGTTTAGAAGACTTAATACTGTTAATATGCAATATTCTTCAAGTTGATCTACAGGTTCAATGCAACAACTATCAAAATTCCAGTTATCTTATGTCTTGGAGGAAACTGAAAAAGTGATCTAAAATTCATATGGAGACCATCATGTTAAGTGAAATAAATCAGACACAAAAAGTCAAATATTGCATGTTTCTCTCATCTGTGGAATCTGAATTTGTTTAATTAAAAAAAAGGATGACATAAAAGTAGAAGGGAGACGCTTACAGAAAAGGGGACTGGGGGAGAGGGAAAGAAAGGCTAAGGGAGGTAATGCTTTGAATATGTTATACAATGTACAAATATACCCAAACCAGATCATTGTTCTATATAACTAATATGCACTAATTAAAAAAATTGATATGGAAATATAAGAACCTATAAAAAGACAAATCTATCTTGGAAAGGAGCAAAGTTAAAGGACTCATATTTTCTGATTTCAGAACTTACTACACAGACACAATAATCAAGACATCGTGGTACTAGTATAAGGACAGAAATATAAATAAATGCAATAATTTGAGATTTTTAGAAATAAACCCTAACATCTATCTATGGTGAATTGACTTTTAATAAGAATGCCAAGGCACCATCTTCACACTCACTGGGACAGCTGCAATCAAAAAGAAATACAGGAGCCGGGCGTGGTGGCGCATGCCTCTAATCCCAGCACTCGGGAGGGAGGCTGAGGCAGGAGGATCACTGTGAGTTCGAGACCAGCCTGGGCTACATAGTGAGTTCCAGGTCAATCTCAACTACATAGTGAGAGCCTGTCTCAAAAAAACCAAAACCAAACAAACAAACAAAAAAAGGAAAGAAATACAGGGCTGGGGATTTAGCTCAGCGGTTCGGCCGCCTGCCTTGCAAGCAAGCACAAGGTCCTGAGTTCAATCCCTGGTATCAAAAAAAAAATAAATAAATAAATAAAAATAAAAAAAGAAGAAGTGTTGAGGATGTGGAAAAGTTGAAACCCTCATGCATTGCTGGTGGAAATGGAAATGGTGAATTCTCTTTGGAAAATATTTGGCAGTGCCCCCAACAAGTCAAATAGAGTTACCATATAAACCAGAAATTTCATTTCAAGATATGTATTCAAAAAAATTGAAAATAATGACCACACAAACACTTGTTACATGAATGTTCATAGCTGCATTATTCTTTACAGTCAAAATATGGAAACAACTCAAATGTCCATCAGCTATACAACAGATAAATACAAAGTGGTATAGGCACATAATGGATTATTACTCAGTCTCTACAAAGAATGAAGAACTAACGCATGGTACAACATGGATGAATCTTGAAAAGAGTATGCTAAGTAAAAGAAGGCAGACACTAAAGGCCATATATGCTATCATTCTATTTAGATAAAATGTCCCTAATAGGCACATCCATAGAGACAGAAAGTAATTAGTGGTTACCTGGGTTGGGGAAAGAAGTGGGTAATACTGTTTATGAGTATGGGGCTTCTCCTTGAGGTAATGAAAACGTTCTGAAATCAAATAGTGGTGATGGTTGTGCAATTTTGTTAATATACTAAAAAACACTAAAAGGTGAAGTTTGTGATATGTGGTAAACACAGATAAGCATAAACGAGCCAGGTATCTATTAGGGCTCACATATGATTTTACTCAAAAGCAATAAAACATATTTATCATATTAACTTAAACTCTTTCCCCAGGTGTTAAAGATTCTCCATGATCTTCTCCCACACCAACTTATTAATTTTTGATTTCAATACGATCATAGCCAATCTGCTCTCCATGGCAGCCTTATTCTCATTCATTCTCTCTCTCTCTCTCTCTCTCTCTCTCTCTCTCTCTCTCTCTCTTTTGTTTTTTTGAGACAGTCTCACTCTGT